AGATTATCCTCGCGTTTAGGACTGTCAGTTCAATTCCGGAATTTTCGAGTTATATACAACCAAAGCATCTACACAAACACCGCATTTATGATTCAAGATGGCGAAATGCTTCGTGCTAACTAAACCCGATAGAATAGGAACCACAAAATAATCAAAATCCAAACTTCATTCCGCAGACCAAGAGGAATTATCTCAAGAAAAAGAAACGAATCGAGAGTTCTTAATGAATTGACCAAGGAGCAGTTGATCTCTCCATTCATAGCACGCTCTTTCTACCTGTTGAACATCAAAAGATGGAATTTTTTACAATATTTGTTCTAGTGTGATGATCGACGAAGAGAAGAGAATTAGAACATCAGAAGAGGATAATATTATACGATAATCAAAGGGGTTAATAAATGTCGAATAAGAGTGAAAACCCTCATACGCCAACTTTTGATAACTGTGCTAACTGGAATTGCAAGCATTTATGGAAAAAAGACTTTTCGGGTTAACAGAAAACTTGTTTTATGATTACTTTCTCTTTCCTGGTTGACCATCCACATAATAAAACTTTATATCGGGTACCGATTTCTAAGATTCTCTATTCTTCATCGAAAATTTATTAATAAAAGCGTGTTATTATAGTTATATAGCGTTATTTTAAGTCAAAACGGTGACAAACGTGTGACATCTATAAATGACACAAACTGGATTGTCGTAATTAGATGAAGTCAGTATTTTGTCTCTCCGTAATTTAGCCACGGCCAATATCATTACGAGGTGGAAAGCCGATCTGTTTGCCATACTATCATGATTTTGGTCTGTCAAATTTTTGGCATATTTAGTATTCGGACAAAAAGCAGGGTAAAACATGGTACCCTAAAGATGGCAAGAATGTGAAACCTTTTGGCAAACCTAAAAATCTAGGTCTAGTCACCAGAGTGTTCAAATAAAAGTTGCCAATTTTGTGGCATGCAGAAAGATTGCCTAAAAAACTTCTGTTACTTATACGTGCAGAAATAAATTGAAGAATTCTTTTTTTTTTGTTTTACGTCTGTTCATTAGCGACCGGAAAAAAATTAATTATGAAGCCAAACTACTTATCCAATCAAAATGTGAGGAGAAATATCTGACCCGGGCCTCAGACGGGCACCAACCCTGCCGGGCCCAACCACCCAGGAGGAGGAGCGTGCCAAGTAATAAAAACCGTACAATTGTGAAAACGGAGGAGGAAATAAAAAATTAATTTAATTGAAACTAATTTCAAACAACAGATCGTAAAACATACTCGAGGAACTCAATTCAAAAAGTGAACTAGTAAGTAATTTTTGCTTCTAAATGCGGCCAAACGCTGGAGCATATTTATGCTCGGGTAGGGTCATTTTTCAAGTACGCGCCAGAAACAACACCGAGGGCGTTTCAGCATATCCGTCTAAACTGCAAAAAGCTAATTCCGGTATGATTCTCAGTCTGTTATGGATAATTGCATAACGCTACCTCTCCCGTAGGAGTCAAAGAGATTTAAGACTACAGAGACGCATGTTAATGCCGAAAAGGAAGAGCGATTGCTGAGAAAAGAGGAAAATAATTAAAGCCGGGACAGTCAAGATTTCGTTTGTCATTTTAAAAAAAAACCGCAGGATTATTCGATAACTAGTGCTGTGAGCAAGTTTGTTAAGCGTTACATAATGCTCAAATTTTATGAATCATAAAAGCGGTATATTATATGTTAATGTTTACAAATAGCCAATATTATTCTGTACCGGTGTATGCTAAGCTTGTTAATAATTCTTCGACTAAAAAAGATTACCGTTTCATACATTACTATCGTCATGTTAAGACTTTATTGAATCAATAAATTGCAGCTCGTGAAATAATTAAAACTAAATATTAATCATTTAATTAAGGTTTTTAGTTGAGATAAAAAGTTAAATTAAGTTAAAAATTAAGTTTTTGACAAGGAGTTGGTCGGAAAAATTCATCAGCGGAGATACCTCTATGGAAAGATAGATGGTGTCAAGTTTATTAATTAATTATTATCTCAATGATACTAAATGATTACATCCATTATATTTCGATTTATTCCATTATAATTCCATTTTGATTTAATAAGTAAAACGAAGTATACCTTCACTGAAGCTCTCCTTAGCCATTTCATTTGTCGCCGAGAATCAAATAGATTACACGACATTTGACAAATGGCAAAAAGGAGGGAAAATTCGAAAGGTTGTAGGTTGAGATCGGAAGTTGGTGTTCGAGAGGTGTTATTGTTTGTTTAAAAAAATTTAAGATGAATTTTGGATTTGACTTGTTGAACAGCTTGCATATCTAATGGAAGCTTGCATTATTTAGCTTAGCTTTCCTGCTTTCAATAATATGAAATATATCCTGGAATCGTCGGCGTGAAATAAAATATCTTCCACATTGGCCATAAACAGTCATCAACCACCAATAGTATTTTTTAAATTAAATTTAATTTAATTTAAATTAAAATTTCTAACCTGGATGAAAAATGAAATTAATATTAGTCATAAAAAACAAAGTTCTGTGACATTTTGGTTGTTTTGCGGTTGTTTGTTACTTAAATTCGAATATCGAATCCTGATTACACGACATTTGAAAAATGGAAAAAAGGAGGGAAAATTCTAAATGTAGGTTTAGATGGGGAGTTGGGCCCGATTGGATCGAAGTCAGTGGTAGAGCAGCGGCGTATTAAGCCGGAGATCGTGGGTTCGAATCCCGCTCGTGACCCTGACTGTTTTATCTCAGCCAATACCTTACAAAAATTAATTAATTGAATTATTCATAACCGTTCATTAATTGATTAGGTTCTATTAAATCTCAGAATCAAATCCAGTACAAAATACCTACCAAGGAGTTTAAAGAGATGACAGACACTATTAGTCGAAACAAATAAGGCATAGTACAGTGAAAAAATGCGGTATGCTAGAAGACTATAAAGATGCTCCATCTCAGATATGGTAGAAATAAGCAAAAATCAGTTGAAAAGCTCAAGCGATAAAAAATTTGCAAACAAATTTTCACGTGTGGTTACATTCTGGTTTACTAGCTAGAACGTTATACACGAATGCTAAAATATTCCAATTGTTACAAACGAGCAGGGTGATAAATAATCTACGGTGTATGATTGTTATATTCAGTGTTGAGTTTGTTTCTGCCTCACCATGCTTTTAACAGTACCAACCCTTCATGACGATGGTGAAAAGCTTGATTGATGGAATGTGTGTTTGGTTGACTAAACAAATAGGGGAAAACTAATGCTAATATAACTAAAATCTATAGGTTCGTCATTCTGCAGACCACATGAAGAAATCTCACGAAGCAATTCAGGTTGTTCGTTTTTGGAACTACGATTTTCTACCCTTTTTTTACTGATGAATATCTGACGATTATCGCACAGAGAATTAACCAGTGATGATTAATAATTAATGATTAGGATTAGCTATGTGGTCCGAAATGAAGTAATCTATCTTTTTCCCAAGCTTTCGGCTTTTTAATAAGCCTTCCTCAGGCCGGGATACTTAGTTAAAAAACATAAATAAGACTAAAATAAAAGCGGCACGTTTAGCTACTGCGGTCATTATTTGTTCTTAAATTCACTAATTTCGTGGTCCGCTTCACCAATTAATACGTTACAATTAATTAAGGTTTTTAGTTGAGATGAAAAAAAGGTAATGGCACGAGCGGGATTCGAACCCACGACCTTCGGCTAGATACGCCGCTGCTCTACCATTTGAGCTATCGTGACCTCGATCCAGTCGGACGTCAACTTCCTATCTCAACCTCAAGTGGTAGAGCAGCGGCGTATCTAGCCGAAGATCCTGTGTTCGAATCCCGCTCATGCCATTAACTATTTTTCATCTCAACTAAAAACCTTAATTAATTGTAATTTGTTCTTATGTTTTTACTTTAGTAGACTAGTCACGATTACGATTTACTGTAAATAATATTTATTAATTAGATCATTTATTAATTAAGCTATTTATTTTTTAAATTATTGGTTTGTTATTCAATAAAAACTTAATATTGTATAAAGTAAAAACATAAGAACAAGAAATGACTGAAATACTTGAGCGTACCGCTTTTATTTTTATTTATGTTTTTAACTAAGGAAAGCTTGAGGAAGGCTTAATAAAAAGCCGAAAGTTTGGCAAAAAAGATTCGACTAATTCATTTTAAACCACATGCCTTATTCCAATCAGCAATTCGACGATTATACGATAACGAACTTTACGGCAAAGTTCGAACAAATGTACGCGAAATTGTCACATATTTAACAAGTCTGTGTCAACTCTAAAGAAGTAACAAATTTAAGCATTTTCAAGACGGGTCAAGGAAGACAAGTCATATCTTTTATAAATAAGTTGAAGTTCGGTTATACACACTAGCTAGTAGACCAATTTTGTTAATTGAAAATGTTTAATAAATTTTGTGAAGATCAAATTTGGTGCAAGAGTTTATCGGAAGCCATCGAAGGAGCAGTGCCTACAATGTGATGACTAATGGCACTACACTAAAAAATGATAAATGACTGTCTTCGTTCGAATTTTTGTCAACGTGTTTGATCTTAATGAGACGTTCATTTCTAACAGACCGCCCGTCAACGTCGTATATCTGTCCGACTTAACCTTAATGGACTTAAATCGAGTGAAAAGGGAAAATTGAGGACATGTACTGGGATAAACGCTATCATCTTCGTTAAATACACATTAGAGAAGGCACGGCTTAACCGTACTTATTAACTCAAAATCGTTTATCCCGAAAATCGGCTAAATAATTGATGCTGGCATTAGTCGGGTCGAATCGCTTATCTCAGCCTCGATCATAATGAAAGCCACCATTGCTCCTGGGATTAGTAGAATTTGCCAAGTTCCGCCCGGCGTGAACAGAGCGAGATATGATGCTCTTTCTTGACAACGGGATAATCAATGCTTATAACAATTTTATTGTATAGAAGAAAATCGATTTACCATTGCATATCGTTTCTTTTGTTCCAGTTTTTACTAAGCAAGAGCCGGAAGCGGAGTGTGAAGCCGCTCCTCCGGATGTCACTCCGAAGCAGCCACCTAATGATGAAATTCTCCTGAAGCCTGTAGTGTCACCGAAAACGACTACACCCAGGAAAAGCGTATCTTTCCATTCTGATCTCGTCACAGGTGAGCCTTTCAATACCGTTTTACAACCTTTCGCCGAAGATACCACTGGAAAATATATTTTATACGACACCGATCTTGATCCTCGTGGTAGAGTGTGTTTTTATAGAGATATATTCCCGGCTTGTCTGAATCGCCGTTTTCTACTGGGAAATAAAGATGGGTGTTCAACAACGTATAAATCATGTTGTTTATCTTAGCATATAATAAATGACTGTGTACGTGTGTTCACCAGAATGTAGAAATACGACCCAGCATATTATATTAACGGTCAGTTATACGATGCAAACATTTAATATCGCGCAAAACTCTTCAATTTGAAAAAAAAAGAATAAAAATGAAAATCGTTTTAATAATTTAAAAGTCATGTAGTTCTTCTGATAATACAGAAATTTACTAAAACTGACTACATACTATAATTCGACACGTATAGGAAAGCAACACTGATTATCAATACCATCCAACCTGACGCAACAACCATCGACACAAAATGGCACCATTATAAAACATAACAAACCCACTGACCAATGTAAAATACAAAAACAAACCAAAAACAATATACACCATAGCACACAATAACCCTTAAAGACTGAGACGGTAAGAAAAAATTTACAAAAATGTTGCAGGTTATTTTTTTGTGAAGAACAGTTACAAATAGTTTCTTCCTAAAAGTTATACATATATTTACATGTACAGTAGAAATCCGTTTATTCGGACTTGAAGGGACCGGGACTTGTCCGGGCGAGCAAACGTCCGGATAATCCTAAAATTTGTGATTTCATTAGTATCGCGTCATAAAAACATGTCCTATTCTGACGCTACTCGCCAATTAATTTTATGAGCAAAACCAAGAAATAAATTGTTAGTTAAATTTTATGAGCCAAACCGTGTAATAAATTGTTAGTTGATTCATTATATCCAAAAATGGTATTCTGGTGTTTTGATCAAATTTCTACCGAACCATTAAAATTAATTTAAAAAAAATAAAAACTAATGCATTTTTAATCTCGGGTCATTTGGTTTATATTAAAAGTAGTATGTTGTAATTAACATAACGACAATAATACATGTAGTTTGAATAAAAATATGAGTGACTTCTTCTTTTGTCTTCGATTGTACTCGATGCTACCCGAGGAAAATCTGGACAGTGGGGATCGCGTAGCGTAGAGTAGGGTAGCGTTGCATAGCATCGGGCAGATGTGCACCACAACAATACAATGTTATGGAAAATTCGACTTTAATTTTGCCTCGGGTAGCATCTGGTAGCTTTGCATAGGGTTGCATCGGGTTAGTTTGTTCTGTGCTTTAGAGAATTGATCATTTAACTCAGCTGTGAATTCTTGATTACCCGAATATGAGTTCAGATTCTTATTTAGACGACTATATGCAACTTTAAATTTCATTAAAGTGTATCTGAAGTCGTTTTCGGTAAGTTCGGTAATCTTTCTGAATGGTGTAAGCCCTGATGTTTACTGTACAAGGTAAAACTTTCTATCAATGGTGGAGGAGGCTGCTTCATCCAAAAAGCGTAAGTTTGATCCTTAACTGCTAATAAGCCAATACCTTTTGATATATCTGAATTACAGGCCAATATCCGTAAAAAGAAAAGATCCTCATTGTCCTTGTCAGGACGACCGAGTATATGGGAACCTTATAGGCCAATAATTCGATCAACTATATTTTTCTAATTCTAAGAGGCATGACTCCTGCTTCTCTTTCAAGAACATTTGCTGGAAAAATTATATATATTTCGAAGCAGCCTTTCTTCCTATTAAGCATTACGCATGCATTCAATAGACGCACCTGAAATATTGAACGATTTTTGTGCGCTGAAGAGGATGGCTGCTTCGAAATACATATTTCCAACGATCTCGCATTCCATCCCCATCCACAAGATACTGCTAATATCATTACAAATTTGGTTCGAGAGCCCTTACCTATTCATACGTAAAGTTCGCAGGCAGGAAAGCAATGCAGGAGTCGGACCTTCACCCGCCACGCTCAAAAAATAGCTCGACGACTTTTTTAGAAGAGTTAACTACCGGATTGATATTTCTGATAGAACAACGGTCACCGTTTTTCTAATCCCCCAGAGAGATTGTTTGGAGGATAGGATTCGTCAGAAATTCCTAACAGAAAATTTTAAAAAAATCTAGCGGCACTTTTGATGAATTCGTGGTTTTAAATCAATTAATTGTCAGTCACACTCGATATTATTAAACTTATGAATGGACTTTTATCGTAAACGACATAGATACACATACCCTTTATTGGTGCCGTCTTCCTGGCCGCACTCGCCATTGATCATAAAATCCATGGTCTTTTCAATGTAACTAATGGAACATTTTCGTCAGGTCAATTTCGGACCACCTCAGCACGTGGTATTAAATCGGTTTCCTCAATATTCCTTCAAGCTTCTTCCGTTTTATATCTGTATCAAGACTCGTCAAAGAAAGCAAAGCTCCCGAGAATTGCTTGACTGAACAATGGATCGAAACCCAGGGGACATGCAGTTTGTTTTAAACCCAGACCACTTTTCTCTTATCAAGACAAGTTATCACCGACCAAGGCTGAATTTCAGCAATTACAAAAGGAAGGAATTTTACGCTCATCTAAAAGCCATTGGTCATCGCCATTACAAATTGTTAAAAAGAACGACGGATCGTGGCGTTTTTGTGATGATTACCGGGCCCTCAACGCCATTATAACCCCCTATCGATACCCATCTCCATAAACATGACTTTAATGTTCAAATGGCCAACTAAAAAATGGTTTTCAAAACTAGACATGCAACGTGTCACCAAAGTCCCATGAGAATAAAAGACATTCCAAAACCCGAGATTACTACACCTTGTACCTACTTGGTCTCAGAACAAACTTTCCAACGGTATATTGATGAATGTTTGCAGGTTGCTGTGAATACCTCTATATCTATATAGACGATTTTCTCATCACATTACCGACTAGCAGAAACACGAAAAGCCCGGATTGTTGTGACCAAAGCATTCGAAATCGAACTTCACATAACTTGAGAAAAACCTTACTTTCTTCACTTCGCTTAGCTTGTTTGGTTTTCATATTTCAGGAAATGGCATAGGCCAATTGTAGGATAGAGTTACAGCTATCCAAACCTTCTCACTGCCCATCTTAAAACGTTTCTTAGGACTTGTCAATTTTTACAGATGTTTCATTCCAAAAGCTGCAAATCTTCGATCTCCCCTTTACACTCACACTTTGTCCAGACCTTCTACTCAGATTAATTGGACTTCTCAATTAACAGACGTATTCAGGAAAGTCAAATACAGTCTGTCAAAGGCAATGACCCTGGCACATCCCTTCCCTGGTGAACCACTTACTCTTACGAACGCTACGTAGTGTGCAATCGTGTGTCAAAAATGCAACTTACTCCGATTAAGCGGCATGCTTCCATCATCATTCTAATGGTTCAATGTTGTAAGTTCAATAATATTTACACAATTAATAATTAATTTTTTTGGCCTCGGCCACATAGGGCAATTAGTAATTAGTTACACAACTAATTAGCTATACAAAGAAATAGTCTTCTCCTGATGATATAAGTCGGATGACGATTTCGTTTTTTAAGATGAGTTTTCGAGAAAACCATGCCTTGTACATTACTTATTTCGCTCTCGCGATCTTTCAGTAATTTTTTTTATTGCAATATCAAAAATGTAGAAAATTCTTCAAAAAATCTTGATGATCATGAGATTTTTAAAGGTTTAGAAGAATAGTATTTCTTAAAAATAATACCCAATTATTCATGTTTTAATTGTTAAAAAGAGAGGGTCCTGAAACTATTTCGTTGTCGAAAAACATTTTAAAAATAAACAATACATTTTCTTGGATTTATTTTCTATTTGGTTGTTATGGTCTGATTAAATTTAAGGAAATTTTTATTTGATTTACCGTCAATTTTTCTCACTTTTGCGATCTGGGCTTCACCCTGTGGTCTAAAAAAAAGACGTTTAATAAATTCCCAGACTGACATGGATTTAGCTTTCTGGCTCATACTCTGTCGGAAAATAAAAAATGAAAAGGGCCATGTTGACGTGACAGTTAATCAAGGAGTGGATAGACCTGGGTAACCATCTCCCCTAGATTCACCTCCGGTTGGAAATATAGCTTGCCTTGATTTCTGGTTTTTTCATCCACGGAAAGGGGACACGGGCGGTTGTAAAATTCATGGAATCGAAATACTTATTGAATTTTGATGACTTTATGTCTGAGATTAAGCAAGGCGGGTTGTATATATCAAATATATATAGTTTGCAAATTAATATCAATTTGATATAACCACTTGATATAAAATCCACCTTCATACAAATAATTTTTTATATACTGAAATGTATAAATGTTCAATTACTTTTTTTTAAACGATGTTTCGTCAGAAATGTAATGGGCAATTATGGTTGCCTGATGTTATCCAAAATCTGACAAAAATCTACCTAGCTGACAAACTTATACTATTGACAATACCAGTTGCAATAAACAGAAGTACATATTCGTATTTAACACAACCATTCAGAAATTCTTAGCACAGGCACATCCATTTGTTATGGAAAAGCAAGCTCCGTCATCTTCAAGGATGGGTCCGGTTGCGCAAAACTCATTTATGCTTTAATCAATCATAAGGAACTTTTGGACTGAGAATGTAAAATCGTCGTACTTTGTGTAAAACATACATGCGTATGCGTTTGATTTGTACTGTCGTAAAAATAAAAGTATCCCATATCAAATTAAAATTGATTAAACTACCCAGATAGGTATCCCAAAACAGCATATGAACGAAAAACACCAGAACCGAAGGTGGTATATAAACTCAAGGGTTGCGGACCCCCCTAAAAAATATCAAATAAAAATGGCAACGTGCCTATAAAAAATATATTAAAGAATGAGTTGACGAAAAACATAAAATCTAATAATTTTTCAATTAATTAAGGTTTTGGTTGAGATAAAAAAGTCAGTGTCACAAGCGGGATTCG